ACAGGTTTAGCAAAATACTCAAAGATAGGTTCAGCCATGGATATAATTACATATATAATCATACCTATTTTAAAAGGTAAGTATACTGCTCTGGAGCCTATGGATATCACTCTCTAAGATCTTTCCCCCTAAAATTCCTCCTTTAGCAGTGACAGCATCCCAGACTAAGCCTGGCACATTTCTTATAGCAATGTGAAATGGAGGGTGCTGGCTGGGGAGAAGGATCCCAATTCTGCTCGAATTTTGACCCTCCTGAACATCCATCCAGACTCAAGAAGCAGCTATGGGTTCTGGCTGCTGGTGCTAAGCAGGTAAGAGTGTTACAATATCAATACTCCCTCATGAATCCAGGAGAGCACTGGGAGCACACCCACTTTTGAGTTCCTAACTCCAAGCAAATTGCTTCATTTGACCTAGGACTCTTCACGTCAGTGGATTGGCAAGGTTCAACAAAGTAGTATGATTTTGTTCTGTCTGAGGCATTCTCTCCCAGTACCTTTTCCAACCAATCCCCCTATTTTTTTAATTCTTCCCTTCTCCATTGATGATTTTACTTAATTTCCCCCATCTAATTTCCTAGATTCTGGGTTTACAGTAAATCTGAAAATATTCATCCATTTGCCTTAAACATACACTTACAAGACACACCACATCTAAACAATGTAATGAAGATTTCAGTTTAATGATGAATCTTTTCAATTCCCCAAATGTGAAGAAATCTGATCTCCTAAAATCCTATCCAAGAATAATTTTTATATCGCTGGTTATGATTCACCAAATTACTCAAAATGTGTTAGTATGAATCTGTCAGTTGTTTTTTCAATAGCATTAGTCCAGGGTTTTATTTTTAGTTTTTATTTTTGTTAAATGAGTTTTAATAGGTGTTGTGTTGATTTATATTACTGATATGGCTACTGGGCAATATCATTCAGACTATAATCTAGCATGGACAAGGCTCTAGGTGACAAAATTTAGGAAGAGCTGTTCTTCTAATAAACCCTTATCTGCAAGTGATCCAATTATGATAGAATAAAGTTATTTAAACAATTTGCATAACTTTCTTGTACATCTATTATAGCCTTGTTCTTAAGTTTATACACTGGCTCCGCCTCCGCCTCCGCCCCCGTCCCCCCACACTTTTTTTTTTATGTTATGAATAGTGAAGAAACCATGCCCTCCCTTGTTATGAGATTATTTCTTCTTAATAAAGCTAAAGGGAATCCAGCTATACCCCCAACTGGGTGTTTTGGGGAAATGGGGGGAAGTGAGTGATGAGGTCATCCCCTTGTAAGCCTCTTTGACTTAGGTTCTATTTCCACTTGGATAGGAGTTATGTATTTTAAGTGATTTTTGGTCATTTCTTTTTCTCAGTTTTTCTACCTGCTTCTAACATTATACCTGTCTTTTACATTTCCTGGTCTGCCTTACCCTCTTCCTACAGGAAACCCACCATAATGACCTGGAGGCAGAGAAATTTAGAAGGTAATGGATAGGGAAAGAGGTGTTTAACAATTTCTCCTCCTCAGCCAAAATTGGAGCAATATTGTTTCACAAAAGACTCAATTGACACATTCTAGATGTAAATAAAATTGAAGAAGGTAGATTTTTGCTAGTGAAGGGTAATATCTTTGACTCTCCATATATACTCAAATATATATAGACCCAATAAAGATAACCCAAGTTTTTAATTTTCCCCCCAAATTAATTAATATCCCATTAGGCTCAGTCATCATAGCAGGAGATTTTAATAATGTGTTGGCCCTTTTTTTTAAGACAAGTCAGGTTGGCCCCAGCATACACAATCGCATTCTGGAAACATTATAAGAGACTACGTGGACAAATTGGGATTAAAATATGCATGGCGGTTGCAGAACCCTCCACTGAAGGGTTTTACTTATTATTCCGCCCCACATTAGATGGCCACAGACAAACCTCAGGTATCTTGGCACCCTGTTTCCCAAGGAAATTAAAAACAGTCAAGGTTAACCTAGCCCCATTAATCATGCAGTTAGCAAATGATTTAAATAGATGGCAGGCACTACCAATCTCCCTTTGGGGAACAAATTAAAAAAAAAATGAATGCTCTTTCCAGGGTCCTTTTCATTCTGAATTCCCTCCCTCCATATCTCTCCCTTTTATTTTACCACCAAAATCAACAACATGTTCAGGTCCTTTTTGTGGGTTGCTGGTAACAAATCCAAAATCTCCTTAAAAAGATTACCGTTCCTTATCAAAACAGGTGGGTTTAGATTTCCCAACTTTAAAGTTCACCATCAGGCAATAATTCTTAGCCAAGCAGCACAGTGGCTCATTCCCTTGTGCTGTAGGACCCTGGACTGGCTCCAGCTGGGAGCAGAATTGGTTGCCTTTTTTACCCCTTTTCCATGCACTGCACTTGGATTACTAGTGATTCCCTAAAGAACAATTACTGACTATTATGGCAGCCTGAAATACTTGGTGTACTATGTTTACTAAATTTAAAAATCATCCTTTTCTACATACCAAGGTCTCTATCTGGGACAACTCAAAATTTTGTATAGCAGGCAACCCATCATTTGGCCAGACTGGATTAGGAAAGGGATTTTGACCATCAGTCAACTGATTGATGCTTTCCTCCCTTTTACAATATTAAAATAAATATTCAATCTAGAGACTAAGAAGGAGTAGAAACATATCCATCTTAAACATGCTATATCCTATCTGTTTGACCCTAATGCTTTAACTACCCTGACCCACCTGAACTGCTTTCATTTCTCCAAATATTACCCAGATTCCAAGACCAAAGGCAACACTATATGCACAACTGGTCAGCAAATTTGAATTAAACATGGAGTTTCTAAGAAAGAAATGGGAGGAAGAACTAGGCCAATTATCATCTGCTAACAAATAGAAACAAATTTTAGCTAGTGTTTTGAACTGCTCCTTGAACCTCCATTTATGATTAATACATCAGAAAATCATATGTCGGTGCTGTGAGTCAGCAGGTGCTAACTTAATCCATATGCTGTGGGAATGCTCCTATATCTGTAGGTTTGGGGCAGATTTGAATTGCAGAGTTAATTTTTTTACTATCAAACAAAATCGTTTTAAAGCCAAACATGTAATTTTAAACCAACGAATGTTAACTGGAAGCTGAATAAATCTGAAGAAAAAAAACCTTTGGCTAAATAGAGCACTAGTCATAGAATCATAGGACTGGAAGGGATCTCGAGAGTCCAGTCTCGTGCACTCAAGGCAGAACTAATTAAATGTTGAACGTGTAGCAAATGATTAAAATATATTACAAGAATTTTATGTATATTTCATTATGTTTATATTATATTTAATAAAAAGCAAATAGGAAAAACATTGCAGTGTGAAGCAGATTTATAATCCACCCACAGATGTTGTTAAAGTCTTTAAACCAATTTTCTTGGAAAGAATTTGTAAAAGGGAGAAAGAGCTAGAGCAACTGTACTTATGGAGACAATGAGGTGTAGCAACATAATATAAAAAAAAAGGGAAATGAGAAAAGCAGCAAGAGGATTTTTGTTTCCTACTCATTTTCTAAAATGACTTTTCAAATTCAATACAACATAAAAACTAAAGAAATCTCATGTGACGTGGCATTCATAGCCATCATGAGATTCTATTACCATTAAACTTTATTAGAATTTGTCTTGGCAGCACAGCGTTTCATATTTACCAGTTTTGTTATGCATGATGGTATCAAATTCTAATTGGATTTCTATTTACAATTTAAGAGCAATAATGTTACCTTCGTGGTTGAAATTTCTAGTTGATTGAATGACCCCTAATCTATAGCAATTGAAGATCAAACGGCAACATGAAGATGCAATTAATAAAAACCTCAGATCAATAGAACAAACTGATAATTTTGAATACTAATTTCTTCACTATCCTTGAAAGCTTAGAATTGAGAACTTAATTCTCCCATTGCAAAATGATTCATTTACTATAGGGCTGCTCAAATACTGGGCTGCTCAAATACTGGGATGCTGGCACTATTTTCATTTTAGAAAATATACCAAAGTATTTGTTTTAAATGAAATAGTTGTATGCACTTTGCACCTGATATGTAAAGTACTGTAATACAGATCAAATTTTGAAGTATTCATTTAAGAATCTGCTCCCTAAAATTTCGGATAACCTGCAATGAAGTGGCTCATTCTAGAATAGGAAATAATACAGCAATGTCATACAATTTGTGGCCACAATTCAGCAAATCACTTAAGCATATTCTTAACTTTCAGTGGGCACGTGTCCCATTCAGTATCACTCACTTCAATGGAACGGACACATACTTAAAATTAAGCATGTGATCAAGTGCTTTGCTGACTTGAGACAATATGTCCTGTAAATTATCATAGATAAAGATAATTGTAATGATGTATTAAAGATTTCTGCTGTGTGTAAGCGGATAATGGAGTTTATGCTGATGTTTTTGCATCTTGATTTGATTGCAATAATTTGCACTTTCTGGAATATGCCACATTAAAAAAATATTTGAATGCTCATACTTCATTATTCTTGTTTTATTGTGCCATATCAGTCACCCAAAGTTAAGCAAACTGAATTAAGTGATTGTTTAAAAACTATATCAAACATCAATTTGCAGTATTATATCCTAGTTCATAACCCCAAATAGATTTTCATTAATAACACCAACTTGCTGTATGTCAGTTCTGACATTAAATTCTAAAATTGCTCTGTGAATATCCTTTTCATGTTTTTATTCAATGTGCAGATCCTCATTTGGTACCACAACTACACATGTGGTGCAATTGTACATAGTGTCTGAGTTCCAAAGTGCTAAATATTTAAACTGCATCCTAACCCCTACACTTTTCTACATCATGCGCAGGTAGCCAGGCCCTAAGGACACGGTTAGTATTAGGGGGTACATTAACAGATGATATGTCAGGGAAACAGAGGAGATATTAGTATGATTCTGAGTACTGTCCCCCCCAATAAGAGCGAACAAAAAATATTAAACTTACTCATCCCATTGTTGACTGTGCTTTCTATAGAGTAGAGTATCCAAGGCAACAGCATTGACATCCAGAGCTCCCAGGGAAGGCCATTGATTGGTGAGGTGGGTAGTTAACTCTTGTCTTGATCTCAGATCATTATTCTTTAGCACAGTTCTGTTAACATAAAGACAGTGAATCTTATTCCATTAAATGTAATGTTTCAAGTCACAGTAAGGAAGCATATAACAAAGAATCCTATCCAGGATGACGTTTCCTCTTAAATAACATCTGCTTGAACACTATTCTGATACAACTAATAAAAGGTAATTTTCGTAAGTTCTCTTTTCCTAAGAGAAATCAGTGTGTAGGAACAGAAAAACAAAAAGCTGAAATTACACTTTACCATCTGAAAAAACAATTGCATCTTAAAGATACATTTTTGACTGCATTACTGAACATCAGAAGACCTATTATTCTGCAGACTAGATAGAGGATCTGTTGCATAAATAATATTTGCATTTAAAAATATGATTTCTTAAAGGTGTTTTTTGCACAAAATAAAGAATCTAATCAGAAAACTTTTTTTCTGGAACAGAACTGTTTAGGCAGATTTAGTTATAGGATGACAGTGTGCATACCATAGGTCAGTCCAGAAGTACTAACAAAGACTAGTTGAAAATACCTTATATAATTACTAGTAATAATTTGCACATCTAAGCCACTCGTATAGAAAGTGCTACTGAGCATTTTACAAGCCTGAATTAGTTTAGCCTCACTTCACTCCTGTGGAGTAGACAACAGTTCTCATTTTACAGATGAGGAAATGGAGACACCAAGGTATTAAATCACACAGGAAGTCTTTAACAGAGGCAGGAGCAAGACCCAGGTCTTTAGATTACCAGGCTTTGTCTTAAGTACAAGACCACCTTTTTTTCAAACAGTATAATGGAAACAGCAACCAACTCTTACAGGAGAGCAAAGCAGAAGGTTAATAAAAAGATAGCGTCATCTGTTAATTTATCCAGGCTTCACACCATATTTCTCACATCTGTTGTGAGAAGTCAGCGTTGCACACAGTCAGACGTTCAATAATTGGAACACAAGATCCTCCTGACAGCCAGTGCTTTGTCTGAAATACTGAACTGCATTACCAATAGTTTGATGATATTCTCTCATGAGTTAAACTACATTTGTATTTATGTGCATTAGCAAGTAATGTATTGGGATTTTTCTTTACATAGGTGTTTTGTTTTTGCAATGCAGTTTTATCTTCCAGACAATCAAAACATTTAGACCAGAATCCTGTAGAGGCTCCCCAATACCATATAAGGAATCAGAGGCCTCCAAAAGGGTAAAGTAGAAGGGCAGGTTACTATCATCTCCAGATTTTTTTTTTCTCTTTTGGTGTGGTCTTCCCCCATCATTATGAGGCAGGAAAGTTATGCATAAAATGTTGCCATTTTTGTAACAGAAAAAATGATGAAGTTCCACAATGGGGAAAATTGTGAGGAGCCTTTTTCCCACCATGAAGAATTCACAAGGCAAAAATGGGGAATTTCACATAGCTGGACGACACAGTCACAATTTGGTTATTTCCAATACTATGAATTCTTCTATTGCATCATCTCCTTCACATATCCCCTTCCTTTCTGGAGTTTGTAGTGAACACCACCCAGATAATCCAAATCTGTTGAAATTTAAAATATCATGTATATGAGCCCAGGCAATTTTGTATGTGGAGCGTTAAACTGCCCTATAACTATGTGCTACCACCATACAGCTCTCAGTGCCAGTGTTAGCTCACTGGAGAAATAGGTAGCTGGATAGCAAGAAGGACAAAATGTCGATCTATGTGGAGATGACAAAAGTAAAATTCCAGTTACTAGTGTGTAACCTAGGTTTCTGTTACTCAAGGTGTTTTCCCCAAGTCTTCACCCTATCAGGATGCCCAAAACATTATTCCACAGAGAAAGAAATGAGTTTATAAGAATTTAGAAAAATAAATTTTGAAACTCTGCCTAACCAAACTTGGTATCTCCCCAAAGGAAAATCAAGAAAGTAAAAATCTACAGATACTGTTGACAGGATTCCACGTTGCCACTCCCCAATGCTCAAGAATAGACATGTGCCTACTGTAGTACGTAGAGGTAGATTTTCCTCTCACTGAACATGCTTTCCCTTTTGAAACAAGAACCAAACAGTTGGCTTGTTTTCCTTTATATTTAGATTCACATTTTTAATTGTTGTTTTATTTACAAGTACTGTAACTGAAACAAGTTATTACTGATCATTGTTGGAGAAAATACATAGTCGTATCCACATTGCTTAGATTCATGTTTTCAGATATTAGCCATAAATAGCAATTGTGAAATCAGCTGAAAATAAATTTCTCTTGAAGTATTCTTTGCAAATCTAATAGTAAAATTAATATATTTTGAGCTACCATATAGTTAGTAGAGGAAGCCATTTTCCCTTTGAATTTTGTTATTATGCAAGGAAATTATAACAGTGTTGCTAATTTATTAGTGCCTCTAAGTCCAACCATAAAATGTCTTCCAAGATACTTCCATTTTTAAATTGTTTCTTTACTTCTTTGAAAATCAACCTTCAAGTCTTAGCAAACTAATATAACTAAAACAACTCTGAAGAGATCTCATTAAGCGTCAAGTCTAGGTAAAGGCATGTAATAAAATTAGGAATTTGCCGTTAAAAGGGAATAGTAATAATTACACCTACTTTTATTTGTAGTATTGTAAAGTACATTGGATATTTCAGTTGTGTGTTTTAAAGCTTTACACAGTATAACCACATTCTCATTGTTCAATACATAAACTACATGTTTTTAGAGGGTAGTTGAATAAGCAGAAGTTTCCTGTTTTATTTTGTTCCAAATCCTACTGTCTTGAGCTTTAAGCTTGGTACAGGACACAAGTCACAAAGTAGTAATGCATCACCATGTTTTATATAGCACAAACCCAGGTACCCTTCCAAGAATATCATGTCCTAGATGACAAGTATACAGCTTTATCTGCAAACAAAATGTAGTAACATTAAGTTGGCATTTAGCCAAATATGTTGACAAAACTATAATAGATTACAGAAGCTTTAATTCAAGACCTTCACAAGAAGAAATCAGAAGTAAAACCAATCATAGCAGTAGGGTTACATGCTCCTCCCATCAGAAAGTTTGTATTAATAATTGTAATTGCAAAGTACAGTATAAAACAACAAGACAGACAAAATAATAGAACTTTTCTATTATTTTTGAAAACCATCAGATCTTTATTTACAGCTGGTTTACAAAGGACACGTAGTTTCTCATGTGTTATATAACCAAAGAAAAATTTACTTCAGACATCACAAGGTAGAGATTATTTTCATGATTTTTCTTTCAAACTACATCAGAATCACTTAACTGAATAAAGGGCTTGAACTGGGTCACAGTGCATAATGCTACAGTGTACATGCATTTCTCCCTGGTCCTGAACATTGATGATGTGAGAGCACAATTCCCATCTAGTTGGATCAACTAGCAAAGTGCCCCAGATTAGCGTTCAGTTCATACCTTTACAAAGAAAAGTTCTGATCAAAGGGCCTTATCTCCAGAAGCAGCATCATGTGGCAGTAGTTTTATATATATATATATATATATATATATATAAGAGGA